TAATATATAATATAATAATAATATATATATATATATATATATATTATTATTATATATATACATATATATATATATATATATATATATATATATGCGTGTGTGTGTGTGCACATGTCTGTGTGTTTATATGAATACACAACGCTTGTAGCACTCTTTCATTAGCCATGCATAACTCCATCGCTCACACGTCATACCTGATGTAAGTCCCATCCATTTGTCTAAATATAGATTGCGCACTGGTTCTACCAGATTCATCAGTAGATGCAGTTCTGTAGACCGGCATCAGCGAACCGAATGAGAAAATATATAAACCACACGGAAGCGAAAACGGTATGACAATGAGTTATATAATTATAACCGTAAGAAAATGGTTCTAATGTACAACCGTATGACAATGAGTCATATAATATACAACCGTAGGACAATGTGTTATATAATATACAACCGTAGGACAATGAGTCATATAATATACAACCGTATGACAATGAGTCATATAATATACAACCGTAGGACAATGAGTCATATAATATACAACCGTATGACAACGTGTTATATAATATACAACCGTAGGACAATGAGTCATATAATATACAACCGTATGACAATGAGTCATATAATATACAACCGTAGGACAATGAGTCATATAATATACAACCGTATGACAACGTGTCATATAATATACAACCGTACGACAATGAGTCATATAATATACAACCATATGACAATGTGTTATATAATATACAACTGTAGGACAATGAGTCATATAATATACAACCGTATGACAATGTGTTATATAATTTGCAACCGTAGGACAATGAGTCATATAATATACAACCGTATGACAATGTGTAAGGTAATTTACAATCGTAGGACTGAGCCATATAATACACAGTATTCAATATAGTCAGAGCCATAATACGAGCACACAGTAAGAACAAACCATTGTACATGCCTGACAATATATGCCCTGAGATATAAAATCGAACTTATTGCCCTGAGATATAAAATCGAACTTATTACCCTGAATTATAATATTGGACATATTGCCCTTAGATATAAAATCGTACTTATTGCCCTGAGATATAAAATCGAACTTATTACCCTGAATTATAATATTGGACATATTGCCCTTAGATATAAATCGGACACATAGCCCTGAGAAATCAGAATTATTGTCCTGAATTATAATATTGGACTTATTGACCTTATATATAAATCGGACATATTGCCCTGAGTTATAAAATCGGACTTATTGCCCAGAGATATAAAATCGGGCATATTGCCCTGAGACATAAAATCGGACATATTGCCCTGAAATATAATATCGGACATATTGCCCTGAGATATAAATCGAACGGACTGAGATGTAAAATCGGACATATTGCCCTGAGATATAAATCGAACGGACTGAGATGTAAAATAGGACGTATTGCACTAAATTATAATATCGGACTTATTGCCCCTAGATATGAATCGGACCTATTGCCCTGAGATATAAAATCGGACTCATTGGATTGAAATACATAATCGGACATATAACATCCAAACACGCACCATCAGGTTTTAACCTCGCTCGTAAACTATCGCGCAAATCGGCTGGTCCTGGTTTATCGAATTCGAAGCCAAACGCCATACTCATCTCAACCTGAAGGAAGAAACCAAGTCAACGGTTCATAAACACAAATTAACAATGATGTTCCTTATTTTCTCAAAGGCGGTATATCGCTTTACATGCATGCGACTCTTAGGTAAACCCCAATGTTTGTATGTTAATAGGTACACCCTAATGTTTGTACATTATTATGAAAACCATATTGTCTGTACATTGTTAGATAAAACCAAATGATTATACATCATTAGGTAAACCCTAGTGTTTGTACTTGGTAAACCCGAATGTTTGTACATTATTAGGAAAACCCTAATGTTTGTACATTATTAGGTAAACCCGAATGTTTGTACATTATTAGGTAAACCCGAAGGTTTGTACATTAAGGAAAGCGCCTTCGGATTTCGAGGAATTAGACGCTCGCTGTACACCTACCACGAGCAGTGTACAAACGGATCCAACACGATGACTCATCGATGACTCATGACTCGTGTATACCTACCTCTGACAGTTTCTGTACAGATGTGGGTCCCTGTGGTGATGTCGGTCGACTGGCTGTGTCGTTGAGGCGCGCAATGCCAAACAGTCCGTCGCCAAAGTCTCCCACACGCACTGACGTGAGTCCTCCTGTTTCTCCGCTAGGCTTGACTGTGGTACAAGGAGACGATACGCATATTGACAAAATAAAGCGTGCAGGTTTATGCAAGACTATGAATACAAGTATGTACACATAAGCTCCAGATATTAAACAGAAGTATGTTTGCCTGGGAGTATGTGCAATTTTCCTGAATGCGTATGCCATCCACTCACATACGCAAAAGATTATTATTCATATAT